TTTTTAGTTCTGTACCAGAAATAAATGGTAGTAGACATAGTAAGAGTAGTATGTGGTTCAGAAATCAACCAATCACTATGGAGTAACAGGAAAAAGTCACGATGACAGCTCTGATTGGCTCTGAAGGCATCATAACCAACTATGGCTAGTGTCCACTTTTCCACTTACTGCAGGAATTATAGGCGAATGTGTCCTTATTAATATTCATGAGCCAAGCTGATTTGGTATAAATGTGACCTCCTCAACACTGTTTAGATCGTTCCTACGCCCCTGTGTATTACAGCAGTGTGTTTATATGATTTGGGCCCTTTCATCTGATATTGGTTTCTCTTCCCAGGGCTGTTTTAAACAAATTGTTAAGGTCACCCAGAGGAACGTTGACATTGTGGGAGGAATAGCTGCTGGAGTCACTGCCATTGAGGTAAACACAACACATCCATCATGCTGTTACAACAACAAATGTATTGAAAGAAGTGTATTGGGTTTATCAGCTCTCAGGATTTGACTATAGCCTTTATCATGATTTGTTAAGCTAGCCTATTTGAGAACAATTTACCACTTTGCATGTCCAGCAAAAGGTGTAGCGAGGGGCATTATTGTCTTAACAGTTTTCAAAATGCATTTAAATGTCCATATGCATGTCATAGGCACTTCAATCATATGCCAAAGATGCATTATTTACCTACAATTGACAATGTATTTTGTTTTCTAGTTGGCAGCGATGGGAATGTCTTTGTATCTCTTTTGCTACCTGGACCAAAAAGCAGCCTAAAAGTTTAATTTTACTTGTTTAAAATTATGTATTTTGTTTAACTGTAGATATTAGTCCACTATGTATTGTAAGATTACAAGGATATTATGAAATTGTCTGTTATTTTATTTTGAAATGGGATGTTATATAACTGTAATCCTTTTTTTTTTTTTCCCTGAGCATGTAATGTAATGCAAAATAATACAAATGTTGCTGTATTCCCTTTGTACAAGAGAAAGTAATTTTATAACCAGAGATCAAGCTCATTAACATAGAGAAGCAATAATTGTTTTGTGCTGAAACGCTTAATGTCACACAAGCTGTTCTTATACATGAAAATGAGTTTAGGGAGAGATAGGAATGTTCATGCAGAAATGTGTCATACATTTCTTTCTTTTTTTTCGCACCATACAAAACTATTCCTATATTGAATATAAGAGTGATATATAAGTGACTTAGGTTTGTAAACAGAAGATACAAAAAAAAATAATAATAAATAAACGTAATAGGACATCAATCTCAAGAATCTCTTGAAATGAAAGGTAAAAAGGTAAAGAAGTGTGACCTTCATTGATTTCATTTGCGTAGAATCAGGATGAGTTAAAAGTTTTAAAAGACAAATGCAAAATATTGCAAAAGGTTTTTGACTAGTAAGTTTCACACATGCTATATCTCACTCTACAAAAACAACACCAACTCAAGCTGGCGGTCTGCATCATCATGAAATCACCAACACAACTTTGGCACACACAGTCGAATCACATTTACGCATGGGATCAACCACACAACATTTGCATTGATTTCAATAGTCACACCATTTCCTTTGTGGGTTGCTTCAGATTTCCACATAATTTGCCTGCTGTGCTGTCTGCTTATCTAACAGGAAACAATCGTTTTAAAAATAAAATAAATGTATATTTTTATATTGAGAAACTATTAAAAAATACATAAATATAATTTTAAGTGTAACCTTTCAATAATTAATCTTTAAAAATAAACACATTAAGAATACATTGTTTAAATGCTTAGAAATAAACTGTAAAAAGTTAAAGGTACACCATTGTGTATATTTAGCCATCTAGCAGTAAAAAAAAAATGCATGCATGTTTGGAAGAATAATATTGTTTTGGTTGTGCTTTGGCTCTGTGGTTAACCTTCATAGACATAAAATACAGGTGTAGTGTTTATTATGTAGGATACTGCTCATAAAACATTCTCTACTACATAGTTTAAGGTTATAGTTTATGGAAAGGATCTCAAGGTGACTATAGCTTTGTACTGTAGTGTGTTATTTTACCTATGTATACTTCTTATAAAGGGATTCACTTTTTAAACTTTAGTTAGTGTGTAATGTTGCTAACAACATCTGCAAAGTTACAACGCTCAAAGTTCAAAGCAAAGAGAGATATTTTCATTTATTTAGCAGAAATTGCTTTTTAAAGACTACAACAAACGGCTGGTCGGGACTACAATGAGTTTCTTCACAGGTTAAAGACATCACTAACCCTAAAATTGACATAACCCCTGCTCCCGGGAACATGATTTATAAGATTATCATGACAGAATGTGCTAATCAATGACTAGATGATAACTCCACATCAGCAACATAAATTCATCAACTAACCATTCAGAAATGTCCTGTTGCATTCTACATGTTGTCACTTCTTATTGAGTCTCTCCATCTTAATCTGATACCGGTTTAAACATAAATGACTAGAAGTTTTTTTTTTAAATGTTCAGTGCTAGAGCTTGCATAGAGTAGTCGAGTAATCAAGAGATCGACTACTTCAATCACTAGTCGACGCTGTCGGAAACAATCGACTACTCGAGTGCCCATTCCATAAATGAATTCAAAATGACGAATGTCACCAACTGAAACCATGCATCAGATGTGTCGAAATATTTCATCAAGGGTGACAAAAATATCGTAATATCACATATCACGTCTAAAAACACACTCCTTCTTCCCACAAGTGCTTGCGCTTTCATGTCATCTGTCGTTGATACTGTATGCAACCCTGAACTGCCCTCTCCATGATGACGAGGAAGTATCAGTAAAGTATTAATGGTCTCTAGCCCTTACATTAGCTTTACTACTAGATATGGAGATGAGAAATAAAAACCCACTCTGTACAGCTATGGTCAGTCGCTTCCATTATGAGCACGCTTGAATTAATAAACATTTATTGATGATAACTATTTCATGTCTTTTTAAAAAAAATAAATAAAAATATTTCATGTTTTTTATCAACAATTGTGTCATAACCACAGGACTCTGTCACTCAGGAGAGAAAAAAACGTGAAGGAGGAAAAGAAAATGAAAGAAGGAGAAGCTCATCAGGCAATCTTTTACTGTCTATGAGGCAATCGGGTGGACATGGAGGCATAAAGTCAAGTGAGAAGCCCATAGAGAGCCCATAAAGCAACAACAGGACAAAATAATTTAACAACAGATTTTTCAGATTTCAATTCAGATTTGTCTTGGCACAGCTAGTAGGGACAACTGTCAGAACGATTGCTCACGTCACATTAACATTGTCAAGCCCAATTTGAGCCTGTGCAATATGCACAGCAAACAGGAAGTGATCGCTTCTAATGGGCTTCAATTTTCTCCACTGAAATCTATGGGGTCACTGTGTCGATTTAATTTAATGTCTATGGGTCTGCGACACTGCTTATGATTTATAGTAATTTGAAAAAAATGCACTGGTGCATTTTTATCATTATAGGGTGATTGTGTACACACATTTTAACGTGTGTACACAATCAATATCCCTCGTAGTAGTAAGGCCTGTTACTTTAATGATTTGTTGAATCATGACATAAATTGAAATGATATCTAATAATTAATAGTAATATTTTGATAATGTGTCAAGCAGTGACCTCAACCTCATAACAGAAGAGAGTCTGCTGGCAAATGAGAACAAGACAGAGCTTGTAATAAAACGAGAAACAACATTGGCTTGGCTTTTCCCATATGGTGGGAAATTGGGGATAAGAAATGTTATAAAAGCGACATGGACGTTCAACATGCGAGTAATGTATTTTCTGTTTTTAGATACATCACTCACATGATTGTGTACACACACTGCTAACGCATTTACGTTTAAATGACATGTTGTAAGTGAATTTTGCATATGTGCCCTTTAAAGAGAAAGTTCACTTGAAATTAATTTTTGATATGTTTTAGCTTACCTCAAAGCCATCCAAGATGTAGGTGTCTTTGTTTCCACAGTATTTTCAATTTTGATATTTTTCGGTCAAACCGTTGTAATGGAGGTTTAGGGTCCACCCTCTATGGGTTCACTTCAAAGAGCATGCACAGAGAATGACTCGTAAATGTAAGTACACATTGATGGCCTAAGATATAAACAAGCGGTTTGTGTGAGAAAACAGTATTTATATCGTTTTTACCTCGTGCTACCAAAGCGATGTCAAAATGATCTGACGGCACGGGCGCTTCGGTCTGCGCATGCGCCGGAAGTGCTACTGGATAATGTCACTCTTTGTTCATACAGAGATTTCGGGAGTTTTACCTTTCACTAAACATATTTAGATATACAGGAAATCGCAATGGAAGACGATTTCGGTAGGCCTATATCTAAATATGTATAGTAAAAGGTAAAACTTCCGAAATCTCCGTGTAAATATCCATCTTATTCTGCTCTAAACAAAGGGCGCCGCCATGACAGATTGTGTCATCCTCACATCGCTTAACTAAATCGAAAAAAACATTCATCAATGTGATCCGATCACGTTATTTTTTATTAAATCACCTAAAAACAAAATGAACCTTTTTTTTCTACATAACTTCCAAAGGATAGCTGATGCATGACTGCACGATCTCCCTAATAATCCAGCAAATATCCGACAGTTCTATCACTCCGACTGCAGAACAGTACTAAAAGGTTCTGGTTAGCCCTTTGACTCTAACATTTCTAATACCGAATTTCTCACCATATGGGAAAAGCCAATGTTGTTTCTCATTTTATTACGAGCTCGGTCTTGTTCTCTTTTGCCAGCAGACTCTCTTCTTTCAGAAGTTCAGGTCAGTGCTTGCCACATCATCAAAATATTACAATTATAATTATTAAAATATCTCATTTCAATTTATGTCATGATTCAACAAATCAAAGTAACACTCCTTATGCATCCTGCCAACTTTAAAAAACAAATAGCTACAGCAAAACTTAATACAATTTAAGAAAAACAACCAAGGAAATAATTTAAAAGAAAAATGGACAGAGGGGAAAAAGTAAGAAAACAGTTTTATTTTATACAAGAAAACCAATCAATTTTAACTACTTAAAATACAAAACTGCTGGATAATCTGACATATTAGACACAACCTCTGCAAACTTGAGTCTACAATACTATGTTGAGATGACAAACATTTCTATTTTGATATTGCACATTCCAGATATTATGAAAATGTTTAGTGGCATCAAATAAAATATCAGTAGTGATTTTAGCACTGATCACTGAAACCCACAGCAATCAAATCTGAAATCTCCTCCATGAAATGATTTGGACATTATTGCATGAGAAATCAATTTTTCATCACATCTTCACTTACAGAAACTCACGTTAACACAGGGTAGATCTATGATGCAACCAAACTTGCATTGATTTCAAGTGTTAAACCTCCACTCTGCTCATGTAAGGTTCTTTAGTGGCTGTGACATAAAGATCTCAAATAAGCAGCATCAACCATCATTCTCTGTGAAAGACAATTCTTAAATCTTGCTGGAAAGACATTGAAAACAAACAAACAAAAAAAAAAAAACAATCATAAAGACTGTGCAGTCCAATAAAGGTCATTATGTGTTGTACAGGGATACTGCTTGTATGTTTTCAGCCACTAAAAATCTCAAACTAATAAAAATATGATCATAATCTTTTGTTCTAAAAATATATATGTCTGTACATATATATGTCTGTACATAGCTCATTTGTAATCAAATTTAAGCCTTTTATTTCTTAATGCATTTTTCTTGTGTAAAAGTGAATTCATTAGGTAAAAATAAACCTGCAGTTATCTTGATATTGACAAAATAAATAGACATGTTAAAACGTATGTGCAGGACGGCCCAAAGCACTAAAAAAAAAAAAAAAAAAAAAAAAAGTTAAATCAGCTTGAATCCCTTTTTGCAGTATCCTGATTTGACGTAATCTGCTGTCACATTCAGGAACTCAAACCAGCACTGGTAATGCTTTAAAACATCTATCAATTCTTTACTAAAGTCAAACTTTCCAGCATAAACTCATGAAATTTCATGACCTCAGGAAATGCTCCCAATGCAAAATACATACCAACAACAAGAGAAGGTCACGTCACACACCGTTGTTAGAAATCCACACTCATATCGTACTAGTTTCAAAGAGCCTGTAGTTCAGAGGCTACCAGCACAGGATGGTTCATCCAATACTTTTGTCTTGCAATAGCCTTAGAGAGCAACATAAGGCCTATTATCGGCCTGACATAGGCCTTGTCTGTTAGTGGTTAGGAAAGGCCCTTTGGGTGGGATTAGCAGGGTTTTAAATCTGTTCCACAGGAGGTCCCTCCTCTTTCGGTGCTGGCTCCAGGTGAATGGGAGTGACATTATTGGGCTTCTTAACACTGGGGGAAAAAGATGTAGTGAAGGTCACGCACAGAAAGTTAAAAACATGCATGCACACATTTTAAATGAAGTAAAATAAGTTTCCTAGAAAAGTTAAGGTATAATGATAAGGTATAAATATAGAAGAAGAAAAATGGCTTGGAAACAACAATTATGAACAAAAAGTCTAAACCTAAACCCAACTGAGAAGGTGTGACACTTTTGGGGCACACACCTGAATCGGACTAAACTGAACAACCTGAAACAAATCTGCCAGGAAGATTGAGCCAAAAATCCAGTGAAGCAAGCAGCATAAGATGGTTCAACCTATACTCTATCTTGTGTTTTTGGTTTCATTGATGTAATTTTTTGATAGAACATTTCTAATAAAAAAACAGTATCAGATATAAAAAAAATATTGTGTTCCAGTGCTTGGAAATTAGATAAATCAATGTATACTCACGAGTACGGGGAGATTGGAACAGCAACTACCAGGACATGGTTCTTCTTTCTGAAGAGCCTCCAGAGTCCTTTGTGATAACCTCGTACATCCAGGTCCCACACGTGCAGGCACTATAGGCAATAAACAAAATGAGGCCATAACCTAATACTACTCTCACCTCAGTATTTATATATCTATTCCCTTATATTTCTCAGTGTCTCTAAGCCACTTATCTACCCTTGCAGTCCCTTCAACATATAAACAGGCCACAGATCTCATTCAACAGATTCATTGCAACCCACTGTAACAATAAATGCAGGCAAAATAGTGGCTAACAGCCATTTGTTCTTTGAGATGCTCAAACAAAATCTCATATTTATATCTAAACCAAAGAATATTCACATACCTTTGCCAGTTCTGTCCAGGTGTTTGTATCTGTCTCCAGCTCCATTTTGATGAACATTACAAAGGTCTTTCCCTCAGTGTCTGGGATAAATGAGTCTTCACATGGGTTTTTACTGTGGTCCAGAACCTCAGCCTCACTGCAGACACACATAACAACGATTACTGTAGTTGTGGTAATGATGCAATTTTAAGGAGTTAAATTAACTCTGCAATGAAGGACTCAGATCTTCAGATAAAATTACCGGAGTAGGTTTTGGATTTCAATCTCATAAGCATCTTTCTTCAAGCTGTGAAAATTGAGAGAATATATATTAAAAAAAATATTGAACATGATATAAATAATAGACAAAGAGGCCAATAAAGAAACAGCAGGAACAATACATACCTATCTACATTTTTCATCTGAACATTCGGAATAGTGTTGAACTTGTGTTTTTTAAAGTAAACTTCCTGTAGAGAAACATGCATTTCATTGAATTGTCTATTTTTTAAATAAACACCGCATCACTGCATTCACAGAGTCCTAGATTCAAAATACTCTTAGTCAATAAAATAATTAAGATAATAAAATAACTGTTGCAAGTAAACTTACATGGAAGTAACCATTCATATTTAAGCCAATGATGCCAAAGTGATAAGAGCGGGAGACATCAGGAATGACACACTCTCTCCCCTTCCTCTGTTCTGGCATCCGCATCCACATGTCCCAGTCCCATAGCTAAAGGATGGCGACAATACGAATAGAAAAAATCAAATAAAACAAAAATATACCAATGGCAGGTTTAATATATTTAAATGATGCACTACTGTTCAAAAGTTTGATGTCAGTATTTTTTTTCTTGAAACAAATTAACACTTTTATTCTGCAGACAGATTAAATTGATCAAAAGTGGCAGTAAAGACATTTATTTACATGTATGGTACACAAAAAAAAAAAAAAAATCCACAAAAGGATTAAGCAGAAACTGCAACTATTTGTTTCCAACATTGATAATTCAATTTTTTCTTAAGCACCAAAATAAAATAAGACACTTTAAAATCTTACAGACCCCAAACTTTTGAATGGTAGTGTATGTAGAACAGTATGCAAAACTGACAATTTTCTTCTCAAAGTTTCAAAATGAAGGAACTATAAGTTCCGATTTAAATAAATAGATTTTCTGGTCGTTTCTAGACACTATAAATTACACACCAGACTGACTCTTCAAAGGTTAGCAATGTTATTCAAATCAGAGAACAAACTGCTAAATTCCATAGTGAGAGCAGCATTTCCCACTGCTGGTGAAAGGAATAATCACTGTTAGAAGTTTTCTCATGCATGCAAATGGAGTGGAAAATTGTGCCAAATGAGACATCACTTTTGATGGGTTTTGCGTGTAAACTGTAAATCTTTAAAATTGTCCCTGTTTAGACATAATTTATAGGCTAAATGTGGGAATTAGCATCCTCACCTTCTCAGGAGTTGGCCATTTGGGTTCCAGTTCATCCTTGTAAAGGCTTTTTTTAAGCACCCAGCCAAGGCCAGGCATACTTTCCACTCTGTACAACAAAGATGGATCCTCTGCCGTGTGCTCGTAGCCCTACAAAACAGAACAGCAGCAAGGTCAAGCGCACTGCTTGAAGGCCTTTCAAGACTTACGCTGCGTCCCAATTCGCATACTATCCGTCCTAAATACTATTAGAAAATAGAATTAGTACGTCCCAAATCGTAGTATGTTGAAATGAGTGTTCCAAAGAGACTAGGATGGTCTACTATATCCGGTCAGAATCCGAAGTATAGATCGATGCACACTCGAACTAGTGATATTGCCCAGAACCCATCACGCGTTGAATGAGGATTCGGTTAGAACTACAAACAAAAGTGAAAAGGTGTTAAAAAACTACAGACATGGAGGACGCACGAGTCCGGCGGTAATGTAGAGAGGTTTAGATAAAGGGGTTTAAGTAATTAATTATCAGTATCAAACCTGACGAAAATGTATTTATTCAATATTGGCAACTTTATATTGCAGCTGCAGAAGCATTCTGAACTTTTGTAATGTTAGCTATTAACTTTTAAATAAATCATTATTCAAATTGCATAATCAGAGAGTCTCCGCGTGAAAGACCCACGACTGGCAGATGAACGTTCGACAACATTTCTCTCCGAAACGGTAGGAAATTAAATTAGATTGAAAAAGGATTTTAACTGTGACAAGATGATTGACAGGGCAGTTTACGGTGATAGGATGCACGCAACAGAGCTGTCTGTTAAAGATGATGAAGTAGTATGTCCTAAAGCTTGCCTACTCTTTCTCTACACACTCAAACGTATGTACTTTTTCTTCACAAAAAGAGTACATACTTTTAGGGCGTAGTATAAGTAGGCGAATTGGGACGCAGGGTTAGAGAAATTTAGGTTGAGGAAACACCAACCACTGTTTAACGGAAGAAAAATATACCAACAGAAAGAGCATATGGCAGCATTTACTCCCCAGATGTTATCAAAGTAAACAGCCTATTTTCAAGTCATATACAAAATTAAAAAAAAATAAAAAAATTCCACTCACTTGGTCATTCCACGCTGAAATGCAGTACAGACTGTCATCATCACGCAACAAATGGATGGTCTGACTGAGAAAGCTAGAGACAAATGTGGGAGAAGAAATAAATCAAACATGTAAAGATATTTAGAGATGATCTGTCAAATGTCATTCAATCTTTTCTATTAAGATTTGTTGAGATGATGCTGCACTCATACATTTCTAAACAAGCCTGTGATAAATAATATAGAAGTCTGCTGCCATCTAGCGAATATCATTTAGCATTACATGTGTAATTCAGTAAAATTGTATATTATATTATATTATATTATATTATATTATATTATATTATATTATATTATATTATATTATATTATATTATATTATATTATATTATATTCAACATCCATACCTGAAAAAATCTATGGAAATGTCCAGGTCCTCCTCCAGGACAATGGCAAAATCTGCATCCTAAAACATTTTTTTTTTACAAAGTCAGACACTTGCAAGCTGTTTTACAATATAACTGTAGACAAATTCTAAGGCAGGTGAACATTTACTTACTGGATGCAGATTAAATGTTGCAGTCAAGCTGGCTTTGTAGTGCTGAGACAAAAGAAACTTGAGAACATTAGTACCATCTTATGGTCATTCAAATGCTTTGATACCAATTACTTTGACACTAAACCTGAGCCCACAGCAATCAGCTGTAACTGGCCTTTATGTTAAGAGATTTTTTTTTTATTCATCTTTCAAAGAAAAAATAAAGACAATAAATGTATCACCTGTGACACTCTAGCGTTTTTAATACTGATAGGCGTATGCTGAACTCCTTTAAGACCGAAGAGATCCACCACATCCATAGGTTCCTAAGCAGAAAATGGTTTTGTTAATTCTGTATACATGTATGAATCGTCTTAAAAAGAAGAAGAAGCGAGAAAAAAAATAGGAAAAGGAGATCATAGGCACCTCATAGTATCCATCAATGAAAACAGTGATCATCTGTGGATTGACACCATGGGAGGAAAGAAGAGAGCGTAGCATTCTAGAGAAACAAACATGACTTATACATCAGTATGGTATTAAAAGGTATGCTTTCTTATACACAGGGTTTCTGATTTCTCTACTCAAGCAAAACCAAAACAGCATAGACAATGTGAGATTATGCCCACATGATCTTTCAGAAATATCTTATATGCTCATCTGGTGCTCAAGAAACATTTCTTATCAATGTTGCAAACAGTAGTGCTGCTTAATAATTTTGTGGAAACCATGATGTTTGTGTGTGTTTATATATGAGAATAAATTTAACTAATGCATCCATGAGGTGATTTGGTAGTGTGGTAAAGTACAAATAAATGCAAGTTTACTAACCTATAGAGATAGTTTGGTCTATTTCCAGCTATAACAGCTACTGGGATGTTGTAGACATTGTTGTTAGGCAGCTAGACAGGACATGGAAAGGTTTATTCAACAACACAGATTTAAGACAAAGACTTTGTTCTGCTGTCTAAATGCTTATATAAATCTAAAGTTATCTCAGGATGAAGGGTATAACCACTTACAAGTGAAAGTTTAAACACTAGTTTAAAAGTTTAAACACGATATCAGCATCTGACTCTGATGAATGTACCACTCTTTGTATTTAGAATTGCATTATCCTTTAAGTATTTCTCAAGTATGAAATATCTTCTTAAAAAAAAAGTTTCAATAAAATTCATGTTCCACTGACTGTGATTTTGGTATTGATCCAACCTTAAGATATACTACTGTTCAAAAGTTTGAGGTCAGTAAGACTGTATGTTACTGAAAGATTGTTTTACATGCATTTATGCATTTATTTGATAAAAATACAGTAAAAACAACATTAATATGAAATATTATTGAATTTTTTAAATAACAATTTTATATTTTAAAAGTAATTTACATCTATTATTGCAAAGCTCAATTTTCAGTAGCCATTACTCCAGTCTTTAGTCACATGATCCTTCATTCTAATAAAAATCATTCTAATATGCGGATTTGATGTTCAAGAAAGATTTCCAGCTTAAAGCAACACCAAGTAATTTTTCCTTTGCGGTCGCCCTACAGGTTGGAAGCGGAATAGTCCATTACTGCTGTCGTAAAAAATTTAGCCTACCGCATCCTACTGTCACACGCACACACGCAGGCAGGTATCTGTTTATCTCTGTTTATCCAGCACCGGCTTCGAAATTATGATAATTCAAAAGCTACTCGGCTTCTAGGTATCTTACATGTAATTGTAGTCTAATGTCGAGAACGCTCCACCTATGGGCAATTGGCTTTATGCACAGCTGCACTACTCTACTTCCTGAACTTCAGCCAGCTCCATGTTTCCTGACTGTCATTATTGGATAAACTTGATTAATTCAGGTTATTGTTGCTGTGAGGTCAGGCATACCTGAATTAATTAATTTGTCCAATAATGGCAGACAGGAAACAAGGAGCTGGCTGAAGTTCAGGAAGTAGTGCAGCTGTGCATAAAGCCAATTGTAACGCTTGCAGTAAAGCAAGTCAAAATTGTAGTTTTCTTATGTCTCATTCGGACTACAAAATCGCAACCCGTTCTGGCAATCTTACATAGTGTGGATATATCAGATAAAAGTCAGCAAAGCAGTGGCATAGGAGCATTTCACCATGTCACGACTTGACGAATCACTGAAACGATTTTGAAAACATTATTTTAAGGTAAAAAAAAAAAATCGTATTAGTATTGCTTTAATATTTTTGTGAAAACCGTGATACATTTTTTTTTTCAGGATTCTGAAGTTAAAAAACAGCATTATAAAAAAAATTGTTAACAATTACGTATTTGATCAATTTAATGCAATAAAATTAATAGGCCTGGTTTTACAGACGGCGCTTAGATTAAGCAAGGATTAGGCCTGAGTTAAATTAGGACATTTAAGTAGCTTTATAAAGGGGCTTCAAAAAAAAGAAAAAAAAAAGAAAAGAAAAGAAGAAAAAACATTACTGCTGTGTATCTTGACAACCCTAACAAAACAATGGAAGTTGCTTTCAGTTAAAACAGCTCAAACATGCATTTTAGTCCAGGAATAGGCTTAAGCCTTGTCTGTGAAACTGAGGGATAAAGATTTACTGAACACAACTTTTGAAGGCTAGTGTATAAAGGTATTTTAGTATTTTTTTTAAATGATGCGTGTCTTACTGGGTCAGGATTAAACTCTATAGGGGCTGGATCTTTGCAACTACAAATGCTCCCATATCCTTCCACTTTACTGCAGAAAAGTTTTCTCCGGCGGTTCAGCTCAGTGTCTGCCCAATGGCACTCAGCCTCTAAAATAAATCATGACATAAACAAACAACTCTGATATAACCCATAACGTAATTGCATCATTTAATACAACATAATCTACACTCACAATAACGGCAAAAATACCTTCAGAAGCTGTCAGCTGGACCTCAGTCTTCAGCAGCACAGGATCACCCCAAGTGGACAGAGCAGGAGACTTGGAGTGCTTCTCCCCATAAACTTGACCTAAGAAAAAAAAAAAACAGTATAGGGATGAGCCTGAAGCTTAATGACTTATTCGGAAAGGCTTAAAAAAAATGGAAATTTTTACAGAGAATGAAAATAGTCTGAAGACAGTCACTCCTCGTGTTAGCTGGATAACAAGCAAGTCAGAGGATAGCACAATATCATAGCTATATTTCAATCCTGACAATGAATTTAAGCAGCATTTATTAATAAACATGGAATGTATATAGGCATGGTCTTGGCAGACTTGATCTGCTGGTCAATTGAATTCAGACTGCTGTAAGAAAACAGGGAGAAAACAGAGCTTGATAAGAGCTATATCAACTAAAATACTGATTCCTACACAAGAATTACTTTTTCACATCACAGAAGAAAACAAATTAGTCATGGGACACAATAAACAAACATACCGAGTATAATAGAGAGAGAAGACAAAAAGCATTGTCCTTACCTCCTTTCTTCACAACCTGAGTCCACATATCCCTCCAGCCTAAGGTAACTGCTGCCTGACTTCCCAAACCTTTGAGAAGATTCTTCGCTGAATCCTTCAAGTGGAAAGTCCCCTCATCCTGAAGAGGCCAATAAGAAGTGCACTTACAGACAAACAACACAAATCTAAAAATCAAGAAAGTGGAAGGGAGAGGCATTTCTTTAACCTTAATAGTGAAGATGAGGATTCTGCCACGTGTGACCATGTTGAGGAAGAGGATCATGGCTTCATCCTCATGGGGAGAATAAGTATCAAACACTCTTTTGGCCATAACATGACCCTAAAGGAAGAAGATACAGCAACATTTAATTATACAATCTTAGAAATACTCTAAATATTGATGGAGTGGACATCGTAAAAACGATAGTGATAACACAAGAAGATACAGTAGACTATGAGGTGTGACTGTGTGTGCTTACAGTGGCCTGATTTAAAACTATAACATGTATGCCTCTGCCCTGCTCCCTCATCTCATCCTCCAGCACCTGCAAAAACACATCAAATATTGTAGATAACAGTGTGGCAAATGTGTTATATCATTAAACAGGTTTAGAATCACTTACAGTAGTGCCATCCACTGCCACATACACTTTAGAGCGACTAGAGTACACCTCGATATCCAAAACCTTCCTACCACTGGCTGGCCTGCGTGGGGTTTCCATGTTAGGCAGGGCATCATCTGAGAAAATGTTCAATGATAGCAAAAAAAAAAAAAAAAAAAAGAATAACTCAAAACTAATTACTAATTCAAAACTGAAATAGTGTAAAGTTAAAAATAAATAAAAAGGTTTAAAAAAAAGTTGGTCCACAGATGCTGAAATAATTCCACTCTAATATTTCTGACATGTGAACTAGTGATCAAAAAGACAGTTTTCAACATTACCATATTCTTGAACTGCATCCTCCTCAATGGCAACTCTCCTTGTGTCAAGAATGAGTTTGATATTCACAATCACTGTGATCAGTAGAAACAGGACAGCACTGGCCTGCATTTACACACACACACACGTTTACGTCACTATCTAAATAGGAACTTTCCATATACTTATTTTGCTTTCATATACAGCTAGTTATAAATAGTAAAGTATATACTATAGCTAGTATAAAATACTAAGTATTTTTACAATAATAATAAAAAAAATCTCAAAAAATTTTTACATTTTTTTTCTCTCTAAAATATGTGATAATTGAAATGACATACAGTAGGGTCCAAACATCTTAGACCACTTTTTGAAAATGAATAAATGTATTTGCAGCATTACAATTTAAGCACAAGATAAAAATGAACAGTATCAAATTATAGTATTTTTTTATAACGAGAGCAACTTTCACGCTGCATGAACACCATAAAAATAAATCCAGATGATCATGTTGTAAAGAGTGATTTTAAATGTTTGACTGAGCATCTGGTGCTTCACTGTTCACTGGAAACAATAACATGACCTTTTGTGCAAAGGTAACATGATGTCCCGTGTCACAAATTTGTTCTGATTAGTAACCTCAGCTAGAAATACATCTTATACATTTTAATACATTTAAATCTTTATTGTTTTCAATGAGTAATTTTTTTTTTAACCTTACTATACCTTCATCTCAGGATCAAGTGCTGCCCAGCTAACCAGAACAAGTGACCGTTAGATAAAGGCAAAATAAACCGATAACCAAACTAATTCGGGACCGGAAAAGTGACATTCCTGGATTTGTTGCTACAGTCTTTGTGATGTTGAGAGACTGTGAGTAATTGTGACATTGCAGACCAACAGTTGTGCGTTATCATTCAGTTGGTAAATATATTTTTAATCGATTTTTCAATGGCCAAACATGCAGTAGCTTAACTTAACTATTTGTCTTCATTTGCACAAAACTAATTTAAAGGTAATGAAAGCAGACTCAAAATAAATTTAGTGTATTGTGACATATACAGCAATGACATATTTTTATTTATAAAAAAGAAAGAAAAAGACCCTGCTCTTTAGGTTATATGATGGAGTTTGCTAACCATGTATAATCATAAAAAGTTACATGCTGACCTGGCAGATTCGTCGCATTGTTCTTTTGTTGGTGAGTCTGTATTTCCATGTTAGGTAGAGGCTGCGCTGCTGGCGGGGGATAAAGGGTTTGGCTCTTGGATTGGGTTTCCAGGTGTCCATGGGTGTCCACTGTCCAGTCCTGTCCTCTGCTCCTGATCACAACACCTGTCTGCACCTGCAATCACGTCTTCTTCATCTACACAGCACGGTGCAATAATAGCAGTTATAAATGAAGGACATAAATACGGCTCAAAGTCAAATCTTCTTTGCAATGTTAAAATATGATGCAGGAGACACACCTCTAATGTTTGATGTAAATGCTTGATCATGAGCAGCTAAAAACAAAGCACTGCTTAACTGCATTTGTAACATTTCTTGCATGTGTACGAGCTGATGATATGAATACCGAAATATTAATAGCGACTATTGCAAACAGATGGTGAGGTAACTGGTTATCTGAGCACAACAGCTGAAATTCTTTCTAAAAGCCATTTCTGTTGGCTTTGGAAATTATGTGTATTGTAACGCTTCACGGAATAAATGCTAGTGACTATTTACCTCAGCAGCATGTTATGTTGAAGGGAAACGACGAGCCGCCTCTCAAGAAAATGTTACTGTAATTTAGTTTAAGTCGGGTCTAATAACATTTGGCCATATGCAGGTAATAAGCATTGTGAAGCTAGAATGCAGGTCAGCTCCACTTGTTCGCTTTTTCAAAATAAAAGCCCCTTATTTGTCCTTTTAAAAGTTCAGTTTAAATTATTTAAGAAAATCAATAAAAACTGAAATACGATAGAACCACATTAAAATAATGAAAGTAGTGTATATTCTCTTTAAATAGCCATTAGATTACTCAAAATCACGGTATGACTCTTTTAATATGAAAAAATGCGTAAGATAAATGTCAAATTATAAAATTCTAATCAATTTTAATAAGCAAGAAAAAAATCGCTATTGAAATTGCATAACAAAAATATTAATTTAGAGAATTATTGACATGCCAGAACTGTCAATAGGCTATGGGTGTCAGCTGAACTATTATTTTTGGTCGAATAGATGTCCAAATAGTTTGCATTTCTTTTTTCCATTAGGCTGCTATTACATTGGTTAATTAAATGTGCAAAGACATGCCCAATTTCCAGTTTACAAACTGTGTGAGCAGATTTATCAGATCATCTAGCAAGCGGAAAAGGTGGGGTAAATAAATGACTCTAAATGTTCGCTTGGTTGTTGCACTGTCATGTCTTTCTTGTGCACTTTTTCCTCTTAAAAAAGACCCAACGCTAAAGGAAAACATGAGACTTCTGTCAGCTGCTGGTTACTTAGGTGAGCTTTTTCTTCTACTCTTGTATGAACTCTTTTTAACAATTGCCTGTTCAATTGTTTAACTGCTCAAGATCTGTTTTGTCAATGTTTATTCTCATAAGACTGGTTTAATTTAAAGTCTACAATACAATACACTCATTTAGATGGAGAAACATGTTAACATGTTGTTGCATATACTTTTCAGTGTTTCTTTCCTCCTTGTTCACACATGGAGCATTTGAAAGTGCGAATCAGTATGAATCAGTCAAAGATTCTCACTCACATGCTTCTCTAGAAGTCCGGCCTGACAGCAAACAACACCTAAGTGGGCAAAAGTTCACCCTTCGCTGCTCAGTAAATACTGGTAATTCAACAGGCTGGATACTGAGGCGTCAAGGTGCTAAAGGTAGTTCTGGATGTTTGCAGTTGAATGGCACAGAATCTACAGACAGGCCTGAAGAATGTCATTTCATTGACATTGACAGTAAGAACAGTGGACTTTACTGGTGTGAGAATATTGCTGAAAACAAGACAAGCAACTCTATCAACATCACCGTGGTCTGTAAGAACATCAGTGGCAACATTAAAGACACACACACACACACCTAAATGTGTTGATCGTATGAAATACTGAAAGTGATTTAAAATGCTCATTAAAATCGTAAAATGATACTTGCAATATATTGTAAAGCAATACACTTTTATATATATATATATATAGGCTTAATCTCTGTTCCCAGATGGTACAGTAATTCTCCTGATGAGCACACTTCATCCAGTGATGAAAGGTAAGACAGTAACTCTGCAGTACTGTTAACTAGCTTTTTAGATATGTGTGAGATCTGTATGAGGTCTCCATGTCTTTTAAGTCACTGTGTATACATTATGTGCATAGTTTTGTTACTTTTTGTCTTTAGAGAACTCCACTGATGATTCAGATGATGAAAAGCCATATACAGGTATGAGATCCAGAACATCTTTGATTGAATTTGGATAAGCTATAGCCATACTTTTAAACTCTGTAACGTAGGAACTTTGATCTGGGTGTCGGGGCTCTGCATCACCTTGGTTCTTCTGGTGCTTCTTCCTGTGCTCTGGCTGCTGTTTCCAGGTTTTAGGTAGGCTACAGTATACCAACACATTGTGACAATTTGTAACTATTTTGGCGAATTGGTGGTGATTTTGAATGAATTCTTACATTTTCGTACATTCTGCTTAAAACCAATTGAGGGTTACTTTTAGTGGTGGACTTTCATGCGTAGGACTTTTATGCAAAGTGCCCCTCCCCCCATACCTACAATGCCCAAATTGTTTGTTTTTTTTTTATGTTAACTCATACAGATCACCAACTTACAAAATAGTTGTTTTCTCAACGAGAAAAGGAAAATTGTGTCAATATTTATTCAACCTCATGCCATTGTGAACTTTATATTTCAAATTTACATTAAAAAAAAAATCATTGCTTGTCGTTTCTTTTAATCAGTGCATGACATTAATTTAATTGAAGACTTCTGTGTCATATTCCTCACTGTGCCAAATATCTGCATTGTTTATGCTTTTCAGAGAGAAATTGCATGTCTGTCCAAATGAGGCATTTAGAAGGGAAAGGGTCCAACAGGAAATGCCTAAAACCAAGCAGGACGTGACTGAAATCCAGTGGGATCTTCCCTGGATGGAGATGGAAAATTTGTTGGACAAGCAACAAAATCCTGGCCGATAAACATTCCTCACTTCAAATGTGGATGTTATCAGATACAAATAGTCACTGTGCTTTATAAAGTGAGTCATGGGCAAAATGACAGATGAATAAAGAGGCCGATACCCGATACTGATATATGGAATTGTTTTCAGTTGAATAATTGTTATCGGCTTTAGATATGGGGTTAGAGGTATTTAAGGAATAATTACTTACATCAGCTGTTTGTTTATTTATTATCTGTTTATTTGCAAAATGAATATTGATTTAAATTTTTGAGTGGTTTAACATATAAAACCTGCAAAGGATGGCAGGTAAGCTGATGATGAACATATTTTGTAGATATAGGATTATTTTAAAGTGCAGTGTTGACATAGAACACATTTATTTAAATAAATAAATAATGAATAACTGAGAAGAATCATGCATCAAAAATTTACTGAAAATGCTAATGTAGTTTATGTTGACATTGTGACATTTGATAAACTGTTTAATGCCATAAAAAGTCAATTTCTGTATACTAAAAGTATTCTTTTATGATTTACATTTTAAAAGGACATTTTAGTAGACATGCTGTAAAGTAAACAAAACACTTTCAAGAATGTAAGCATTTCTAAACATATTGTTAATTTAAATAAGTACATTTTAAAAATGCACTAGTAGGCCTATATGTACGATTAAAAAATATGCTAACAAAAAACTTATTTATCTTGTGAATTATCATGTAATATCAATGCATTTTAAAATGTTAAATGTTGTTTAGCGCACTTTATTATAAAATGTGTTACATGAAGTTGTACTATAAATAAATGTATTTTAAAATCTACGTCAGTCTGAAGGTTGATTGCGATTTCACTTTTTTTTTCATTTCAAAGAGTGTGTAATGTTGCTGTTGGTGCATGAAAAGTATCTGCAAAGTCACAGCGCTGAAAGTTCAATGTAAGCAGAGATATCGTCTTTTAAAAATCAGGAAGTTTAATGCCTACAAAAATGACTCGAATGGGACTACAGCCAGGTTTTAGACGTCACTAACCCATACATTCACATCAACCCTCCCTCTGGAATATGCAAAAAAGGGCATGGCCATATTTCTGCGGCACGTCGAAAGTGTGTTATGTTCAGCCAGCTGTCAGGTCTTCTGTGTTCGGGCTTCCCACGGAATTTTGTGTACTAATGTTGTAAATGTGTTTTTCAAGTAAATATACTTTATGACATTATTTTTCGATTTGATAAAAAACGTAAACCAATGCCAACACTGTTATATAGTAGCCAGTTAGTTCGATGCTATTGTGTAAAACAAACGTGTGTTAAGTAAAAAAAATATATATAGGCAAATTACCATTTAGAAATGTTTTGTAAGAGCCGTGAGTGGTGAGGTTCTGCTTGCCTCTCTTCATCGCCACTTTCTGAGTCTGATTCTGGCTCATACTGCAGTATCGACCATTACATTTGACAGGAACACAGATGTAACTTCGCCCGTAAAGGTAATGGGAGTGAATTTTCTGGACAACGTGCACTACAGTTTAGCCAATCACAACACACCGACCCAAACTAACCAATCTGAGCCCACTGCCTGTTTCTGAGGGAGTGGTTTCATAGACTCAGGAAGTCAACCGGTCATTCAAATGACAAAGGAGAAAGTGGCTTACAAAAAGAGTGAAATTTATGAAAAATAAGACTTTAAAAAAAAGAAAAAACACAAATACATGTTAAATTGCACCCCATAAACACAATCTTGCAAAGAAAAAAAGCAGTAAACCACCCCTTTAAATATTATACATGGCCATTTTAGACTATAACTGAGCAAATTTATGTATGCTTTTCAGATTTTTCAACATGTCAAACTCAACGTCTTAGACATAAGCAAATTGTACAGTTTACTTTTAAATGATATTTGGCTAAACTCCTTAAAACCAATGCAATTGGAGCAAGTAGTCCATACTCATGGAAAGTAGTCCATAGCACTAGATTTCAAGCCTATAAAAGCTGGCATTTAAAGGAAACTTTTGCTGATAATTTACTCACCCCGCAGTGTCATCCAAGATGTCCAAGTCTTTCTTTCTTCAGTCGAAAAATAAATTAAGGTTTTTGATTAAAACATTACAGGAATTTTCTCCATATAATGCACTTTAGTGGGAACCAAACGGTTCAAGGTCCAAAAGACACTTTCAGTACAAACTGCAAACTGTTCAAAGGACTTTAAACGATTCCAAACGATGAATAAGGGTCTTATCAAGCGAAAGATCACTCATTTACTAAATAAGTTTCATAAGCTCAAATGCTCGCCTTGCTCTGTTCTGTGATGCACGTTTGTGACTCTCCTGTTCGAACTCGTTCGACAAAATGAACAAATCTTTTTCCGAGCCGTTTGGTTCATTCAACGAACGAAACAAACGAATTGACTCGGAAAAAGATTTGTTCATTTTGATCAAAATGCATCACATCTCAATAGATCACAAAGAGAACGGTGAGGTTTGGTATTAATGGCGTCAAACTTGACACAGAACAGCATCATGACTGAAGCACTAAACCTAATGTGACAGTACAGTATGTGAGATTAGTATCCAAATTGAGACTCTCTCGGTATGGGCTATTTAGAATAATTCATACCTACTCCCCCCGACCTCTAACCGTCTGTTCTCTCACTCAGACATGCCCCCTGCCTGTCTGGAGATCTGGCTTGACAGCTGACATCACTTCAGGGGTGAGCACTTTTCCCTTTCGCTTCTCAGTAGATGATGCTAACTCAAACAAACTATAGATGCTGGCTCCATCCAGATCAATTAACAATTATCAATAGTGTATTTTTAAATGAAAATTAACCAAAATAATAAATGCTCAAAAACAATGATAAAGATAAAGAAAAATTGCATTAAACTGAAAAATTTCTGCAACAATGTTACAGTTCATAAGGCTTGGTTTTACAGACAGGTTTTACAGCTGGTTATTGTCACAGTCCTTCGTCTGCACCATCCTGTCTGCGTCTCCTGCACTACACTTCCCATGATCCTCTCGTCTGCACACCTGAACTCACTCCCTCATCAGCCTCCCGTTCAGCGTCCTGCTTCATCTGTCTCACCTGTTTGCACCTCGTTATGTTTGATTCATCTGTGTATTTAGTTCCCTCTGTTTTATTCAGTCCTTGTCGGTCGATGTGAATGTTACCTTGTGTTTGCTCCCGATTCCTGTATTTGTTGCATGTCATTTTGGAATTAAATTCTTCTTCTTGTTCATCTGGACTCCTCCTGCTCTTCTGCCTGCACCCACACCGTGACAGTTATACAGCTTAGATAAAACAGGATTAGGCCTTTCAATTAGGGTGTTTCAAGTAAAAACTCCTTGGAAAAAACAAAAAAAAACATGTCTGATGAGCTTTTGTGAAACTGGGGGTTGATGTGCTATAATGTTAACTAATTTAACCTTGAAGTTAACAACAATATATTCATATTTTAGAAATCCTTGTGAAGAGGTAGAGAAGACTCAAAAGCGAGAGTGACAATTACAGTTCTTAGAATCAAAAGTCTGACCACAGTTAATCCAAACAGAAATTTCAATAATTCATATAAAAGCTGATGTTCTTAACTTTGCTGTACTTGTTGTGCTGTTATGCATGGTATAATTGTCTTTTAATTCTATAAAGGACTTTGGTCAGTCAGTGACTGCTATAAAACGTGCTATATAAATAAAATGAACTTGAACAATAATAATCAGCAACCGAAGAAACCAGAAGACTGGCAGTATTACGTGAACAAATCTCCTCTGTGGCAGGGATGAACAGAAGTCATCTTAATCATCAGTTAAGAGAGCGAGAGTGTGTGTGTGTGTGTTTCTGTTTATATTACATTGTGTGGATGTAATATACATTTTTTTTTTAGGTTTTACCCCACAAGTATAGTAAAACCTGAAAATCACCTACATTGTGGGGTCCAGCCAGCGGTCCCCATGAGGAAAACAGCGTATAAATCATACTAAGTAATGTTTTTTTGAAAATGTAAAAATGCAGAATGTTTCCTGTGAGGGGTAGGTTTAGGGATAGGGGCAGGGTAAGGTGATACAATATACAGTTTGTACAGTATAAAAACCATTACGCCTATGGAGAGTTCCCACAAAGATGTGTGCGCCTGTTTGTTTGTGTGTGTGTGTGTGTGTGTGTGTGTGTCCAGCAGAGGGAGACGGAGAAGGAGGAGGATATTTCTAGACATTTACAAATGCTGATCATGACAATGTACAACAATGAACACGAAACAGGAAAATACCTTGCAATCCAAGAAAATGTCCACCCTGGTACAGAATGACGACACCCCTGTGTAACTCAAGGACAAATCTGTATTCTTCTTTTTTTTTTTAACAATATGTCACTAGAGTTTATGCCCTTTTGTTTCAGTAAAGTGGTATTTTAGGCATGTTTTACACATTGTCATCATCACAGACAGTTTCCCAGAGCAGCTGCAGGCCAAGGGAAAATGAAGTGAAAATGTCCTCTCATGTTAAGTCCCTGGAGCTGTCACCTCAGGGATTGTCTGGCCTATCACAAACATACTTTCTTGTGAGCATGCAGGCCTTGAAGGACCTGACAAGTAAATTTCTATACTTGGCTGGTACAGGTGGAAGTAAAGTAAAAGTGTGGACCTCTTAAAGTGAAACCTGAAACCTGGATTTGCAGCCCCAAAAAATGAATGAATAAAAATCGGAGCCAATAAAAATCACCAATAATAAATCATTAAATAAACCAATGGTATATGTGCATACATATAGCCTATATACACACAGGCTACAAACATATAAATGCATAGAATCACGAAATGTTTAAATATATAATTAATAGTGACTGCGTTTGCTTATTAAGCTTAGATATGATGACATGATAAATATTTTAACAGACAAAATTACACGTTTTTAGTTAACATTTCTGTTACCAGGATTCAAATATTACCCAAAGAAACACTAGAGGGCAGCATGTCTTTGCATTGTCCTAATTTATTTCTTAAACACCAATTCACCTATTATATTATACAGTAATAGCCATTAATAATAATAATATTAAAAGTCTAATCAAATTAAGTAAAATACAGTCAACAGTAAAAAAAAAAATATATATATAAGGAAATAGTAAAGTATGCTTCCCCAGAGTGTAAGAGTTTGAATTTAATGCTGTTATTTGGAGAAAATATTGTTTTAACGAAATCAAATAAAGGACACTTTATTTGAAAAATTCTTCATGTGAAAATTATTCGTTATAGTCTGTATTATATTCATGCATAATAGGCTAATGTTTCTAATGAGTTCTGCATTTTTTGGTAATTTTTATGTATTTATCACAGGGTTTTTTTGCAATTTTGTTTGAAATTTCCTCTCTCTCCCTTCCTTGCCCTCTGTTGTGCTTGTGTTTTAGCATGCTGCTTCTGACAGACAATCAGATGCGGGTGAGGGAGGGGGTCTGACCCCTACTCTCCTGCCAGTACTGGCAGTGAGGGGCACCTTGGAGATGCAGGTCGAAGGGAAAAATGCTGCTACACTGACACTATGGCTAAAAGCAGAATGAGTGTTTATATCATTTTCTCTCTAAACTCATAAGGCCAGGAAGCCTTAAAACATAATTTGCATTTGTCATGACTTTTCAACTATGATGCTAAAACAAGACTACAACAATAATAGGGCAAGGCTATACCACAACACAGAATTTTCAAATTACTTTGGACAAGGAGTCATTTGTGCATTTGCAAAAGT